TTAAAGGGGATATGGCCGACGCTCGACACTCGGGGGAGAGGCGAGACGGATATACAATCAGACTGTTACTGGTACCATCGGAATTTCAACTCTTCGCTTGCTGCTGAAGATGGGGACGGAGCGCTTATTGGAGTGTCCCGAGTGCTGTGATGTCGATTCCTAATTCAACATGCAATATTCAACGCCACATAGCATCGACTATGGAAAATCATCTGTGTTAGAGTTGATTGAAAGTACAAGAGACAGAAGGTTGTTGATAGACATGATTACCAACGTCACACGGCATGGACTTTAAGAAGTAGAAGAGCTTGAGGAGAGAGCTAAATAAATTCTAGTGAATCAGGCGGGTGAGGAAAAGATGCTGGCATGGGAAACGCCACACGCTGGAGAAACCCTGAGAGCAATTCAACTAGAATGGCTTTGCCCTGGAACACTTGAGGCAAAGGAATAAAAACACACCAAAAAAGATTACCCAACCCCTGCACATTGCACTATAAATTATTTTATAACTGTTTTGTGGTGCCCTTATATAACAGTGCTGTATGGTTAAGGTTATTGTCTGTCCAAAAGCACAGTGAAGATCAAAATCTGTTCTTGAATTAAAAGAAAACGAAAATAATGTCCACAGATAAAACTGGCTGTCACCCAAAAAATGATGAAGAAATTGAAAATGTCACAAACTTTAAATATCTAGGCTCTATAATAAACAACAATGGAGACTGTTCGACAGAAATTAAAAGGAGGATGGCAATAGCAATGCAAAGATTGAACAGCCTTAAAAGTCTATGGTTAAGCACCAGCAAGGAGATAAAAAATTAGAATTTTGAGAGCATGCATCTTCCCTGTGGCTACATACGGATGTGAGTCGTGGACTATCTCTCAGTCCTTAAGAAAGAGAATAGGGGCTTTTGAGCTGAAATGCTATAGAAAGATTCTCAGAATATCTTGGACAAAGAAGATGAGAAATATTGACATCTTAAAAGATCTGAACAGCATGAAACAGCATCCTTTCTCGAAAGCTGAAATATTTTGGTCATATCAAGCGCCACGACGGATTGGAAAAAATTATAGCAGAAGGCATGGTACCAGGAAGGAGGGGCAGAGGCCGACCGACACGAAGATGGGCACAGGATATAAGTGACTCCTTGGGTGTGAAAGTTCATGAGGCGGGAGAACTGACAAGAGACCGAGTTTCTTACAGGCGGACCGTGATGAGAGCGACGTTCTGCAAAGGACCTGCTACATGATGATGATGGTTATGGGAGGGCTGCCGTGGGGTAGCGGCGAGACTCGGCTGCTGATCTAAAGGTCTTAGATTAAGATCCTGACATAGACGGACTTTTTTTTTGTTCCAGGAATGACCTTTGCTTTCATGTCCACCCAGCCTTAAATATACCAGGTAAAGTCCTGGGAAGTAAAAGTAAAAACGGTCAGTGTTATGTTGACCTCATCACCCACTGAGAGCGGATTGGTCTATTCAATATAGATCTACTTATCCCCTACTTATATGGTTGTGTGGTTCAACGGGGCTTCTGGGATTTGTAACTGTGGGATTCTCAGCCCTGAGATGGTAATTCTACGCAATTGGGAAAGGGGGGGGGGGGAGTTGTAAACTACTTACTAGAGCAAAGGATGGGCAGATTTGGCGTGAGTTGGGAAAAGCTTGGGAGCCTGTGTCTCACTGCGAGCGGTTGGGGGTGGGGGAGGTGGGGGGGGGGGGGGGATAAATTACAGAAGGAAACAGACTAAAGAAAAATACTACGTCTCCATATATCGTTTGCAAACTCTAGTATAAAGTTTAGAAAAACAAACGAGTCTTTTTACCCATTCTTTTCTCTTTTTCTTCTTCTTTTTCTATTTCTTCTTTTTCTTCTTTTTTTTCCCCTTCTGCTTTGTTCTTCTTCTATTCTTCTTTGTTCTGCCTTTCAGCGTAAGGTTTCGAAGAGGCACTGGGTGAGCGCCTGGTATGTGCTACGTAGTTGTTGGTATTTACGGCCTTTGATATTCCATCTATCAATCGCTTGCTTGGTCGACCTCTCGTTCTACTTTTGATGTGTCTAACTGACCGACCGGGCCCTCTGTGGTGCACTCTCTATCTGGTGGTAGTGCAAACGAGTGTGTCATTTTATAAACATGCATCATTACAAAGATGTTATTCTGGGAACACCCTAAAGTGGTATCGCCCATGTTTAACATCAAAGCAGTAATGGTGAAAAGGATCTATCGCTTCGTATTCCTACCAAAGGGAATGAAGAGAAGAAATAACACCCGCGGGCTGAGTGAAGACGCCAGTGCTGTTCCACTCTTGTGGTTATAATTAAACACAGGTCAGCTACCAACTGGAAGCCTCGTGACAGTGCTTCTTGCTATACAGAAGCCCTAGGGAAAATACTAATTGCTTACCCCGGGTACATTTTGAGAGGATACAAATTGAATGACTAGAATAAGGTCTTCCACTGATCCTTAAAAGTATATTTATGTGGTGCTATTTTTTTTCCTTCTTCTCTTGTCACAAGTGGTTTTTTTAAATTTTTTATTTGGTGCATAACATCTTTGAAAGCACAGAGAGATAGTCACAAACTACTGGTAGCAAGGTTATTCAAATTGTGGAGCGCATGGATAAGGATAAGTCCAATACATTTAACCAAGGATGTGTGTCCCCGTGTTGTTCGTGTCTGTGTTCGCGAGAATAGACCGTTCAGTAAGCAGTGGCAAACTACAGTTGCGTAGTAAAATCACACACACACAATGCAATTTTTGGTTCTGCAACGTCCTGAAAAGGAACACGCAAGTAACTTTGTTAGGAATAGTGGGGCTCTTCTATCCTCGCCCGTATGTGAAGCCCCGAACCCACACCGAGAATTCATAACCCAAGTTTTACATGATCTTTCCTAAGGTACCTTGAATGTGACAAATTCTGCAAAATAATCTTCCAACACTTCTCCGTGTACATGTGATTAAACAAGGGTCGGAATGGACATAAGTACAGTCGAACTTTAATATTTGTAATTAAACCGTTCCTGAAGGCAGAAAGAATATTATTTGAGGTTTTGAACAACTGATTAACAACATTGCACACGGGTAGTGACCCGTAAGTGCTTCGTTCTTCTTTCAACTCAAGTCTTGAGTCCGAAGTCTGACTAGCTGTCTGTCTGACTATGTATTTATCATGTTCGTCTGTCTATCCACCAAATAGCTCCGCCGTATCTGTACAAGTCACAATGTCTGACAGCCTCCCACTGTCCCTTCCCTGTCTGTCTTCTACTCCAACCTCCCCACGACTCTCCACAGCTCTCTGTCATCCGATATTTTAATGATGCGCATATAGCTGGCATTATTTTTGGCTTTCCGTCTGTTTCGTCTTCCCAGAAACATCCATCTCTGTCTTCCTCTGCCTCGTGTGCTAACGAACTGGCTAATGTCTCTGTAGACACGCTATATCCACATCGGTTTTTTCAAAGCGGGTCTAGCAAGTCAGGGGCGTCTGCCCCTGGGGGGCTGATAACCTTGTGGCTCCTCTTCCCTATAATATTATGAAAATATATACAATAAAATTAAAACTAGACCAGCGAGCTGTCCAATATAACAAGCAAAAACGATAAGTGAAGGTTGCGGCAGATTACATAATCAAACAAAATAAAACCACCATACACAATCATTTAATGGAAGTATTCCCGGTAGCAGCCACGTTGATGTCTGGCCAGTAAAGATCGATAATACCTCCCACATAATATTAGGAGACTGAAAAAAGTTGCAAGAGAGTTAGGTAGACTTATCGCGTAAGGATGTTCTCTTGTTAGCTCTTTTAAAAACCTTTCTTGCCCGGCTCTCTAGCGTAGTTGGCTAAACTGGATTGCGCGGAGACTGGGTGACGAACTCCTCGTGGTCCGAGTTCAATCCCGGGGGGTAGGCAGGAAAGCCATATTTTCTCCCAGATTTACGGTATTTACAATGGGATCAAGGCCCAAAGGTTGTGATATCCGTAATACCGAGCCTAAGGGTTAACAACTCATGGCTTCTGGATACTAAAACAAACAAACAAACAAAAACCTTTCTTATTATTTCAAATGTATAGTTACATATCTACCATTCAGCACATAAAAATTATTTGTATTACTATTACTGAGCACTTCAAAAGACTCAAGCCATCTTGAGCTTACCCCACCCATAGGGAGTCTCCGGCTCCCTCAAAATTTTCTTGGTTGCGGCCCTGAAGTAAGCAGAGCGAAGTGGGAAGAGTTCGCGCGTGTGTGTGTGTGTGTGTGTGTTACTGTGTGTGTGCGTGTGACAGAGAAAATATGTGTGCGCCCGTATGTATAATGTGCCTGCGCGTGATTATGCATGTGTGTATGTTAGTGTGTATGAGAGAGAGAGAAAGAGAGAGAGAGAGACACAGTGCTGGTTTACTGGCAGATCTTTCTTCCTTTCTTTTTTTCTTTCTTTCTTTCTTTCTTTCTTTCTTTCTTTCTTTCTTTCTTTCTTTCTTTCTTTCTTTCTTTCTTTCTTTCTTTCTTTCTTTCTTTCTTTCTTTCTTTCTTTCTCTTTCTTTCTTTTTCTTCTTTCTTTCTTTCTTTCTTCTTTTCTTTCTTTCTTTCTTTCTTTCTTTCTTTCTTTCTTTCTTTTCTTTCTTTCTTTTTTTTTTCTTTTTCTTTCTTTTCTTTCTTTCTTTCTTTCTTTTTCTTTTCTTTTTCTTTCTTTCTTTCTTTCTTTCTTTCTTTCTTTCTTCTTTCTTTCTTTCTTTTTCTTTCTTTCTTTCTTTCTTTCTTCTTCTTCTTCTTCTTCTTCTTCTTTGTCATTTTATTATTATCATTATTTCTATCTTAAAAGTGTGGTGACAAGCTATTTTGTGGTTTACAGCTAGAATGCGAAATTTCTTTCAGCCCAACACATCAGATTTCAGTAAGCCCCCTAGTAATTCGCCTTTTACGAAATGCTTCAATAAGTAATGAGATCTATTTCAGCACGCCAGTAATCAATTATTATGTGTTTATCCTCAGACAATGCCCTCTATAGCCGTCTACTTTCTTCCTGTGGCACTTTTCGCCATCTTGCACGCTGTCGCCCCTGCAGAAGAATCCAGCCGGTTGTCAGGAACCTCCTCGCGTCACGGGACCTTGGGCTTGTTGCTAAGGAAGCGATCTCTGGAGGCAGCTTTGAGGGCCCCACCATCTATATATTCAGAGTCTCTGGTAAGAAGGATATTTATACAGCCGTCTCGATATGGGACGTAGTTTTTCGTTATTTTAAAGTCCCACTCAGGCTGTTTTCATGAACCCTATTATAACCTAACAGTTGAACGGATTTTCTGGAACTTGCGCTGGGTGATTCTTATCCTAATGGTGGCGCTATGTGTCACCGGATGTTTGTCGCTCGTTATGCTGTCTTGGTGGGTTTGAATTTTATTCAAGAACGAGGGCATGTGACATGGAAAGGAATTTTGTTTTCATAATAATTCAGTCAATAAAATTATACCGTCTGGTCATGCACCATACATGAGTGGTTACTTCATATATCAAAAAAGGATTGGTTATCCCATAAGAAAATGTAGGTTTGGAAACTGTAACTGACTTTACCTACATGGGAGGCAATATCTCCTCTGATGGAAATGTAGTGGTTGAAATCAAGCCGAGCATTGCAAAGGCAAATGCTGCTTACCGCAGACTTCAGAGTGTCTGAAGATCAAACTCTACAGCACAAAAACTTAACTATACAAAACATGCGTTAGGACAGTTCTCAAGAAGAAACTGGGACAACAGACAGAAAGATAGAGGGCATGCTCAGAGGTTTTGAGGGAAGACTCCTTAGAAGATTGTTGGGGTTCACATGGGAAGATAAAATCAGCAATTCTAGATTACAACAAATGACAGACTTAGAAGATGTAAATTTAGGAATAAAAAAAGAAGATGGATGTGGATCAGACACAATCTTAGAATGAAGAAAGAGAGAAAACCAAAACAGGCAATGCAATGGACACCACAAGGACAGCTAGGAAGTGTCAGGTCCAGAGGCACTTGGAGGCAAACCTTTGAGGCTGAACTTAAGGCTACTCGAAGGACAAACCTGGAGATAGAGAGGATGGCTCAGGATCGAATTGAGTGGCGACAGTTTGTCTCTGCCCTATGTGCCTCTAGGCGCTATGAGGATTGATCCCATTACAATAACTGGTTATTCCGTACACTGTATATTTATTGGCCATCCCATGCAACATTGTTTATTCTATTTACGAAATATTGTTGGCTGTTCAATACATCGTGCATTCACTCTTTATTCCATTTACCGTCAGATAATTGTTTATCCAATACATGGCACATTCATTGGTTTTCCCATGTATCGCACATTCAGTGGTTATCCCATATATTGCAATTCATTTGTTATTTCATATACCGTACAGTGATTGGTTATCATATGTGTCACATTCATTGGTTATCTCATATATCGCACATTCATTGGTTACCCCATATATGGCACATTCATTGGTTATTCCATATACCGTACACTGATTGGTTATCCCATATATGCACATTCATTGGTTATTCCATATACCGTACACTGATTGGTTATCCCATATATATGGCTCATTCATTGGTTACTCCATGTATCGCACATTTATTGGTTATCCCATATATTGCACATTCATTGGTTATCCCGTGTATCGCTCATTTATTGGTGATCCCATAAATGGAGCATTCATTAGTTATTTCATATACCATACACTGATTGGTTATCCACAATATGGCATATTTATTGGTTATCCCATATATCGCACATTAATTGGTTATTCCATATTCAATATTGAATGGTTATTCCATATATTGTACATTTATTGTTATTCCATTTACTTTACACTGATTGTTATTCCATTTACTTTATATTGATTATTTATTCCATACACTGTACAATGAGTGGTTATTCCACATTACATGTATTGATCGTTTTTTCTGTATACTTTATGTGATTGGTTATTCTATAAGCCATACATTGATTGGCTATTCCATTCACGATGCATTGACTAGCTAATCCATTCACCACATTTGATTAGCTATTACATGAACTAAACACTTGATTAGCCATTCCATAGTAGCTTATCTGTCTGCCTACCTCTCAGGCAAGCGCACTGATTTCGAAGGAAACACCCTTAATTAGTCGCACTGTACGACATGCTTGTTATAGTTAGTGGATCTATCCACCCCCCCCCCCAATGAGCCCATAGAACCCACATGGGGGTGGGTCTTCTTCTTCTTCTTCTTCTTCTTCTTCTTCTTCTTCTTCTTCTTCTTCTTCTTCTTCTTCTTCTTCTTCTTCTTCTTCTTCTTCTTCTTCTTCTTCTTCTTCTTCACGTCCTTTTTTTTTACCACATAGTGTGTCTAGAAAGATACAAAGTTCTCCGTCTTGCTCTTCTGGTCGCCTCGATCATAGACACATCATGCTGTTAAAGAGTTTCTCTGATGTTATTTTTCCATTTTGTTCCTGGTCTACGTCGTGTTCTGCTTTTTTCTAATCTTTTGATGTATGCCTTGTGTCGTATGGCATCATTAGACATTATTTCTAATTTGTTGTCCTTGTATGTAATATATAATTAGTTTTGTGCCGATTTTTTACTTACAACCTCGTTCGTGATTGTATCTCTTCTGCTCACTATTGCAGCTCCTCTCAGACATCTCATTTCTTTGGTTACAAATTATTTTTTACGTTTTGTTGTGACCATGTCTGGCACTGGTAGCAGGGGGTGGAAAAACTATGCTCTGTATGAGATGTTTCTTTGTCCTGTTGGAGATTGTCTTATGCTCTCATAGGGGGACCAACTGTACCAACTGGACCACCTGTCCTAATACTTGGTTTGCTATACTGCATCTAAAACTTTTTTCTTTGTCCAATTTTCTTCTTTTACTTTCCCTATTTTGTAAGCTGGACTTGCTCTTCCACTGACGGAGCCGGACTTAATTTTTGAAAAAATGACTTTAGGCTCCAAGGTCGACCCAGCCTTGAGTGGGTAGCAAGTACAGTCCTGGGATGTAAAGATGGCCGGTGTTATGCTGACCATATCACCTGCCAAGTGCCGATTGGTCTAATAAAACAGGAGGACAGACTGGCTGGCTCTGCACAACTTGGTGAAATACTGATGCATGATAAGGTAGACCTGGTTAAGGCCTTATAGGAGAATTTGTACAAGTCGGAGGAGCAAATGGATCACCACAGTCTGGTGGGAGTGTTGCATCGAGGAGTGACGAGGGGATCTGGCCGATACTCGATACTCACAGGAAAATCAAGACGGACGTATAATCAGAATGCTACTGGCATAATTTTTACTAGGACTCTTCGGTGACTACCGAAGATGGCGACGGAGCACTTATGGAATTGCGCCGAGTGCTATGATGTGCGCTCTTGAATCGACTCAACTCAGCTCAACTCTATAAAATATAAGTCTAGTTCTGATACGCCCAGTACGCTTGAAGATGTGAAAAAGGGCCCTTTACTTACTTGACTACCTTGCCTATCCACAGATTGAGTCCCCAGCCAAGAGAGATGATGGCTACTGGATTTGGATGCCCGCCCATGGCTACATGCCCATTCCTACCGACGACGCCCCTGAGCAGCAAGGCGGGCGAGACAGCATGGGAAACCTGCTCCGATACGGCTAGATCTCCGCATCAGACAATCTACATTGAGATGCCTCAGTAATTTATTTACTCGAAATTAAATATAAAAATGTTTTTCTTCACTATCTGAATATGTAAAGGAAGTCAGTAATAGAGTAGTAGTAAACAGTAAAGAAGAAATAATAGACAATAATGGATTACGACAGAAAATTCTTAACAGTGTTTTGCCTCGAATCTTGATTTCATCCTATAAGCTTTTACAGAGGCTGAATCTCTCAAGCATGTCGTAATGGCATTTAAAATGATGAGGATGGGGATGATGAGAATATACCAGTGCTAAAAGAATATTTACGGAATATAACATTTATAAATATTTTAAACGAAATTTCTAATGACAAATTATGAAGCTGTTTTAAAATTTATAAAATCTCAATGGACACATGAAAATAATCAGATAAGCTGTAAGTAAATAGCTAGGACTGCTTATCGCTTGGCTGTTTCGAACTAAAAAGTGCGCCCACCTTATGAAGCCAACACAGGTACTGTAATTGTAACTTCCTTAGAGCCTGAACGGGGTAAGTGGGGTTTGCCTAGGTTTGCCATTCAAGGTGCGAATAGTCAGGTGGCAGCCGGTAACGGTGACGATAGACACAATCAGAGACGGTTTTTGAGTGAGACATGAGAAAGCTTTTAATGAAAATAATGATTGCACACACAATACATTGAACAGTTTATTAACGGTATATTTTGCTGTATAGCAGGCATCAGGACAGAGTTGGTTACTGAAAAGCTGCAGTTGGGAGACTTTTCCAGGCCATAAACCAAGGGTTTCTTAGGAAAAGAGAAATTGGCAAGAAGGCGAAAATGTCTATATACCGCTCTATGTACCAGTCCTGATCGACGGATGTGAATCATGGGCAATGACAACAGCTCACAGAAGCCAGCTACAGGTTTCAGAGATGAAGTATCTGAGAAAGGTGGTCCAAGTGACAAGAAGGGACAACGTACGCAACCAGACAAAGCGTCGGTGTCTTGAAAACACCAAGCCTTGCAAAATCGAGTGGGTCAGTCACAGTTACGATTGTTTGGTCATGTATGCAGAAAAGGAGAGAATCGGCCACCATGGTAGGCATGGGAGGCCAAGAATGAGAAAACCAGACCCCCAGGACGACCCAGGGTTCGCTGGGAAGACATCATCTGACAGTCCCTAACTGACAAAGAACTGCGATGGAACAAAGCCAAAAAGAAAACTGCTGACAGAAAGGTCTAGTGATCTCTCTGGTTTGTGTGTTTGTTTGTTTTAGTATCCAGAAGCCCTGAGTTGTTAACCCTTAGGCTCGGTATTATGGATATCGCAACACTTCGGCCTTGATTCCAGTGTAAATACCGTAAATCTGGGAGAAAATGTGGCTTTTCTGCCTACCCCCGGGCGTAAAAATCCGGACCACAAGGAGTTCGTCACCCGGTCACCGCACAATCCGGTTTAGCCAACTACGCTAGAGAGTCGGGCGATCTCTATGGTAAACCTCCATATCCCAGGATAGAAACAGATGGACCAAGTAAGTAGCATTTTGCTGTATCTCGAAAAAACTTCAGGCCTCATGCGAGATCTGTAGTGTGCTTGTGGTTAGGTAAAGTGAAATTCTACAACGGGAAAACATAAAAACGAAAGCTGTCATTTGATGTGATTTGACTGCGAGAAAACCCAGCGCCATTAGAGAAGAGGTCTAGTTTGATCACTTTTCTCCTCCATGACTTAAACAGTCTAATTTCAGGGTGTCTACGCAATGCTTTCTTAAATTCCCATTTCGCTGAATTTATTTCAGACGACTGAACAACTACGGTATAATTTCAGTGGTTTTACGATGTTTGATAAGGTAGATATGTAGTTGTACCCCACCAGGAGGGGACGGAGTCAGTATATGTGATAAGTTAGCAGAGGTACAGTTTATATACCAGTTTTCTATCAAATTCTGTAAAAGGAAACTCCAGTTATGAGGAATTCATATACTCAATGCGTGGCACAAAGAGAGGCCAAATAACGATTGAAGTTTACTGAACAATGCGACAGCTGAGATGTAGTTTCATGAAATTTCTGTCAGACTGTGATAAGTTTAGTTTAGTCAAGATAAATATTTGGAAATAAAAGTCGATTTGTCTGGGATTTATATTTGTTGATGTAAATTATCCAAATAAACATATTCAGTATAGTGATATCGTTTTCTGTACAGTCAGTATGTTCTGGGTCATTATAATACTGGAAAAAAAAATAAAGAAAGAATTGAAAGAAAGAAAGAAAGAAAGAAAGAAAGAAAGAAAGAAAGAAAGAAAGAAAGAAAGAAAGAAAGAAAGAAAGAAAGAAAGAAAGAAAGAAAGAAAGAAAGAAAAGAAAGAAAGAAAGAAAGAAAGAAAGAAAGAAAGAAAGAAAAGAAAGAAAGAAAGAAAGAAAGAAAGAAAGAAAGAAAGAAAGAAAAGAAAGAAAAGAAAGAAGAAAGAAAGAAAGAAAAGAAAGAAAGAAAGAAAGAAAGAAAAGAAAGAAAGAAAGAAAGAAAGAAAGAAAGAAAGAAAGAAAGAAAGAAAGAAAGAAAGAAAGAAAGAAAGAAAGAAAGAAAGAAAGAAAGAAAGAAAGAAAGAAAGAAAGAAAAAGCAAAATACAATTGCTACCAGGGCTGCTTTCTGAGGGATAAACGGTGCAGGTATCACCTCAAAGTGTCTAAGAGTATGCCTAAACTCAGCAAAAGTAATTAGTGATTAGAAAAGATTATCATCACAGCACTCCGGACAGATCCATAGGTGCTCCGATCTTCTCTTCAAAAGCTCCACAAGTGTAAAACGACTGATGACGCCTGTTCTGTGTTGGTAAAGGAAAAGTCTTGTCTCCTTATTGAAATGTTCATTTCTTGCAGCTCCAGGCTGCACCCCCATGTCCATCACTTGATAGGGATATGGAATCGTGTCCTTTGGCGTGCTCCTCGGTACGGTAAGTGCAGCCCATGGCATTGATAACATCAATTCTGTCCAGTACTGGGCCAGCCTTAGCAACTGCAGTGTCAGCAAGATAGTCTGCACGCTCGTTCTCTTGCACACCCACATGACTTGGCACAAAGATGAAGGTTACGGCAGATATTCGTGAAGTGATTAGTGTTTCAATCCATTCTTGCCTGACAAATCCAGCTTGGATTTTTTATGCATATTCATAGAGTCACTAAGAATGCATACGTGTGTGAACTTTTGAGTACCAAGCCATGCTAAAACCCCTTTACAGCCATAGTTTCCATTGTATGGCTTCTAGTTGTAATAGCAAAGGCGTCCTTCATCTCCTTGATGGTTTTCCACCTTGTGCTTACTGTGAAGGCTCATGCACTTCGCTTGCCCCTAATTACTAACACATCTGTGTAAACTATAGCATCACCTACATCTGTGTTTTCGTCAATCAGTGTTTTGACAAAAGTGTCAACAATGCCAGGAATCTGCTCTCTACAGCTTCCATCAAGTGTGATATAGACTGTAATATTAATGTTTGAAGATGGAGGCATAATTATTCATTGATTTCCAAAATTAATGCCAGTAAGGCGGCAAACATGTTCGATGACATCCTCAGTCCGACCCATCCATGATTTGCCTCGTTTAAGTCAACTCTTTTTGTTGTTGTTGTTGCTTGAATTATTCCTTAAAAAGTGGGTGTCAATGGTCTGACTTCACTTTGAGGGAAGCAACAGCCCTGGATAGCTTGATTCTGTTTTCTATTGTGGGGGAAATCCGAAAAGTATGGCAGGATTTACAGGAGGTGTCTCTAGTGCATCCAAGAATAATACGCATTGCCAGGTTTTAACTTTTTTTCAGTCTGTTAATCTGTGTGGTGCTGACTGTCATGACGGCCAAGGCATATTCAAAGTGTCAAGGGGGATGCTGTACTTCACCAAAAGTGTCTAAGAGGATGCCGAAACTCACCTCTAAGTGTCTAAAAGGATGTCAGAACTCACCCCAAAAGTTTCAAAAAGGATGTAAGAACTCGCCCAAAAGTATCTAAAGGGATTTCAGAACTCACCAAAAGTGTCTAACGGGATTTCAGAACTCTCCAAAAGTATCTATAGGGATGCCAGAACTCACCTAAAGTGTCTAAAAAGGGTGTCGGAACTCACCAAAAGTATCTAAAGGGATTCCAGAACTCACCAAAAGTGTCTAAAGGGATGCCAGAACTCACCAAAAGTATCTAAATGGATACCAGAACTCACCAAAAGTGTCTAAAAGGATGCCAGAACTCACCAAAAGTGTCTAAAAGGGTGCCAGAACTCACCAAAAGTGTCTAAAGGGATGCCAGAACTCACCAAAAGTATCTTAATGGATACCAGAACTCACCAAAAGTGTCTAAAAGGATGCCAGAACTCACCAAAAGTGTCTAAAAGGGTGTCGGAACTCACCCCAAAGTGCTTACTATATTAGCGCTAAGAACGTAGTGCATTTTTAAAAAAATGTGTTAGTGCTGCGAACAGTCAAGAAGTGACATCACAGCACTCGGAGCATTCCCATGCATGCTCCGTCCTCATCTTTAGCAGCCAGCGCAGAGTTGCAATACTGATGGTACCGGTTACAATCTGGTTAAAAGTCCGTCTTGCCTTTCCTATGAGTGTACTGAGCAGTCCAGACCCTCTGGTTACACCCAGGTGCCTCATTCTCTCCAGGCCATAATAATCTTCTTTCTCTACTGATTCTGTTGCTTGTTCCTAAAGGGCCTTGACCACATCTGCCTTGTCATGTATCGATTCACCACCCAGTGGTGCGGATCCAGCCAATCTGTCTGCCTGTTAATTACCCACCACGACGGCATAGCCTGGAGAAAAGATGCAAAGTATGCTCACTACCCGTGACTTTTTCAGTGAAGCTTGCCTCTCTGCTCGAAGCATCCCTGTCTTTACCTTTTACAGCAAGCTTTCAGAGTCTATTACAATTATGACATGTGTATGTAGCTGACTCTTCGAGACAGTGAGTAACCCCAGTTCATAATCTATCACTGAGATGATTAAATGCTGGTAAAATGTGAA